ATAGCTTATCTGGTTCTGGGCGACATGTGGTCAGACAGTTCGTATTCTCCTGGCGTGCGATTCCGTGGGTCCGGTAGTCTGTGAGGTGTGTTTACGGTTGTCCTGGCGGCGTGGTGCCGGTGAGGGTCGTGTGGAAGGTGACGGTCCATGTCGTAGTGGCGTGGTCATCTGGACGTCTTTAGGTGGCCGGTTGAGGGCGAGGGCTGCTGGGAGTTGGAGCCCTTGTCGGGTGCGGTGTAGGGCCCCTTGGAGAAAGTCTTCCTGCTGGGCGTCTATCAGGATGCTCGGCGGTGAGGTCAATGGCAGGAAGGCCCAGGTGTTCCGCGAATGCTGTGGCTTCGGAGATATGGTACAGAGTGTGTACCCGGTTGTTTTGTCTTACTTGTAGCTTGAAGGGGTGGCCCCATGTGTATCTTATGTGTCTCCTGGCCAGTTCCAAGGTTAGGGGTCTGAGTTCCCTTCTCTTGTGTAGTGTGCTTGGAGCTAAATCTTGATAAAAGCAGACTTGATGCCCCTCTATTTGGAGTGGGGTATCTCTCGCCGCTCTCATCAGCGCTTCTTTAATATGGAAATAGTGCATGCGGATGATGATGTCCCTGGGCTGGGTTGCGTTCGGAAGAGGTGCTTTAAGGGCCCTGTGGGCTCTGTCTAGTAGGAGCTCGGCCGGTGAGGCCTCCGGGAGTAGACTGCAGAAAAGCTCTCTCAAAGTGCAGGCCAGCATGTCTATTCCAACCGTCTCTGGCACCCCGCGAATTCGTATATTGTTACGGCGGGAACGGTTGTTGAGGTCTTCTTGGGCCTCTTCCAGCAGGCGTACCTGGTCTTGTAGTGCTGAGATGGCAGTCTCATTTGTCTGTGCCCGCGTGGAGGTGCGGTCCAGCTGATCTTCAATGGCGGTAGTTCTGCGTGTGAGGTCATTTAGGCTTTCAGTAATGGGTGCCAGGTGTCTGGAGAACTCTGCAGCCATGTTGGTTTTGATCTCCTGCAGCAGGTGCCTGAGGTCAGCTTTTGTGAGAGGTGTCGCGGCTGCCGTGCGGATGGTGTCACTTGCCGCCGAATCTGAGTCCTCCTCGCGGCCATCTTCCCCACGTGAGGAGCTCTCCTCCCTGCGGGCGCGAAAGATTGGCGCTACCTCCGCGCCATGCTTGGTCTTGCACCCTCCTGCCATGTCAGGTCGGTGGAGTGCCGTGGCCGGGATGCTTGGGGCCGAGTGTGCTGCCCGTTCGTCGGGTATACTTGCGGTAAAAAGCTTATGTTGTGCCTGCCGGTACGGAGCTCTAGCAGAAAGCAGCCATCCGCACCGGAAGTCAGGCGCCGCCCCCGGGTAGATTACATTTAATGCCACTAACACCATGTAACGCTAAGTGGGTAGAGTACATGTAATGCCCACTAACATCATTTAACGCTAAGTGGGTAGAGTACATGTAATGCCCACTAACACCATGTAACACTAAGTGGGTAAAGTACATGTAATGCCTACTAACACCATGTAACACTAAGTGGATAGAGTACATGTAATGCCCTCTAACACCATGTAACGCTAAGTGAGTAGAGTACATGTAATGCGACTAACACCATGTAACACTAAGTGGGTAGAGTACATGTAACACCATTTATAAAGAGAATGCTGTTACGAAATGTTCTCATCCTGCAAAATTGAATAAGGAACTACAGTAAGCTGTCCATTAAATAAAAATTCAAAATAAAATAAAGAGATAAAAAGTGCAATTAAAAGGGACAATCCAGTCCTCTATAGTACTTGTTGAAGTGCTTCATATTTAAAGAGTGTGTTCTCTTGTTTTTCAAAAAGTGATTTCTATAGAGATTGCCATTTATATGAATTACCTGTGTTATACCTCCCTGACTATCAATAAGACAACCATAGAAAGCATCAAAGAGCTTGCAAACGCTACAGACAAGAGATCTGTAGCTTTTGCAAGCTGTTTTTAGAGATACCCCCAATTAAAAAAATTATAATTAAATCTTGTAAACAGTGGTGTATCGGATGCTGGTATACCGGCAGTCAGTGGGCAGCCATGAAGGCCTAGGGATCTTGCATAGCTCTTTATAGTAAATCAGAGCATTGGACAGGTTCCCATGGCAACACTATGATTCTTATCTCTGCACGCATGGGGTGCAAATAAATGACTTGCCCCTCTTGGCACGTCATGACCTCACTATGCCTCAGATTTTGTATGCAAGAATCTAAATGAATAAAAACTTTGTGCAAAATAAGAAACAGCAGCTGTTAGAACATGTTCCACTAGATGGCACTAGAATATAAGAGTTGGATATGGTTTACTAGAAACTGATACAAAGCAGTTAGAATTATTAAACTGCGGATACTTAATTCTTATAGAAACACTCCAAGTAAAAAAATAAATAAAAATAATATATATATATATTGATTTTTATGGGGATTCTCAATTTGTGTTCAGATTACTGGACCTAAAATTTATCATTAAAGGTGTTAAAAATAAAGTAAACTCAGCTTAAAATTCCAACTGTGGGATGTGAGGGGAAGTGATATGGATGGGAAGTGCCCTGTTACGAACAAGTGGAACGAATGATACGTTCCACAGGAAAAATAAACAGGAAATCTGAAGGTACAAAAGATGGGATCAACTGAAGAAGCCTGAATTTGGCGATACGTGTTTTGGTGATTGGACTTATATATGACTGTTACCAGAGACTTTTAAGGTTGTTTTATTTATTTTTCAATAAATTGTGATTGTATCAACTTTGTAAATCACCAATTTCTTCACTAGAGGGGATCTCCCCTCTCCATATTGATCACAACGGGGTAAGGATCTCCATAAGGATCCTAAGGCAATATACACCAGAGGAAGGTGACCTTGTGGCTCTTTCCTTGTGAGTGCATTATTATTATATGGTTAATTTTATGTCAAGATTTTTCTGTTATGATTTGTCCCTCTTTTCTGTTTCTGTAGAAACCGATAAAAAGAAGAAAGGAAAGTATTATCATATTCTTTTATATGTGTTGTTTTAGCTCCACCCAGTGTGTATACTTTTCTTGCGTTACAATTAAGGTGAGGGTGAAGGAGATTCCCCAGAGATGTGTTGAGCTTGATAGCTCTGCGTTTTGTACTATTTTGTAGTTATAAACTACAATAGGAGACTAAAGTGTTACTTTTATAGAAGTGAAAGGACGTGGGACTTGACATCCCCTTGTGTAATTTTGGAAAAGGAGGCTATTTTGTTTAAAAAAATCTTTATTTCTGAGGGTGGTACATGACAAAACGAACATTGAGGCAAATATGCCATCTAGACTATTGCATACATAAAATAGAGATAAGAAAGTTGAGAATAAACAACCAATTTTTAGATAAAAAAACAGCTAGGACTAAACTATTAACCAAGGAGCACTAGTGGTATAGACAAGTTTGCCTTAAGGTCGATCACAAATATGGTTAGATGAACTAATCCTATATTCAGGGCCAGATTAAGAGCCCAGTGGGCCTGGTGCTGACAGTTATGATGGGCCTAATTACAAAATCCTATCGACCAAAAACACTAAAACAGTCCTACCTCCTAAGCGTCATGTATCTGATAGAGGTGGTGCTGGAGCAAAACTCATAGGATGCAGCTATGAGAAAACACATACCCTATGCTAATCTCACGCTTTCATCTTTCAAGTAAACCCATAACCCCTAACAGCAGCGTCCAGTAAAGCAGGAAGCCTATGGATGGGGTAAAATACTAGGGGACACTGAGACACTAGGAGACATGGCGACACTGGAAGACATTGGGACACTGAGACGCTGGGAGATTAGGGGACTTTGGGAGACTAGGAAACACTGAGACACTAGCACACTACGGACATTGAGAGACACCAGGGACACTGGGAGACATTGGGATACTGAGATACTAGGGACACTGGGAGTGCCCCATGTCTCCCTGTGTCTCTCAGTGTCTCCATGTCTCTCAGTGTCCCCTAGTGTCTCAGTGTCCCCATGTCGCCTAGTGTCCCCTAGTGTTTGTATCCCCATGTCTCCCAGTGTCCCTTAGAGTCTGTGTCCCCATGTCTCAAAGTGGTCCGATGTCACTAGGACAATAGGGGACACTTAGAGACATTGGAACACTGAGAGATACTAGGGGACTCTGGGAGACTCTGGGAAACTAAGGACACAGACACTATGGACACTGAGAGACATGGGGACACTGAGACACTAGCAACACTGGCTGGGAGACATGGGGACACTGAGAGACTAGGGACCACTGGGAGACATGGGGCCACTGTGTCCCTAGTGCCTCAGGGTCCCCATGTTCCCCAGTGTCCCAATGTCTCAGTGTCCCCTAGTCTCACCGTCCCCATGTCTCGCAGGCTCAGAGCTGCTGTCTGGACTCCCTATGCTCCCTCGCGGATCAGTGTGTAGAGAGAGGCAGGGAGGGAGATGCTGTAACTTCTTATCCCTGCCTCTCTCCACACAAACAACGACCCCTACTGGCCGGCACTGGTATTGCAGAATAATCTCTGTTTATACTGAGACAGACATTTGTATTGCTGGTATTACTGCAATACCTGCACCGGCTAGGCAGCCTCAAATACCTGAGAAATACATGAGAAATACCTGGCAACCCTAAGAGTAGTATGTAAAAAAAAAAAAAAAAGCTCCATCAGCCCCTATGTTAATCCGGCCCTGCCTATATTGCTTGCTAAGTACTAAGCTGTGGATCCTAGTGGAGGTAATGGACCCCTAACCCATTGGGCAATGGGGTGGATTATCCAATATACGTAACTCAGGCATTTACATCTGCACATCGAGACGAGCCAAAGTGAACTGCAATAAAATCTAAGGTATTATGTACAAGGCCCACAAGGTTGACTGTGGCCATAAAATTAATTGGGAAAATAAAAGATGCTAAGGATAAAAGTTTAAAATAAAACATTGTAAAAAGGTAGATGTTAAGTAAAGAATGTACATATATTTAGGTCACAGAGCACAGAGTCTGGCGCTCCCCCAGGTATGAAGGGTGTAGGTCTGGTCATATCCCAGATATTTTTGGTAGCTGAGCTCATCATTGGAATTGAATATGTCAGGTCTGGTGCCTGGAGGAAAGCAGGACCCTCCAATGGTCCATGTATTTTAATCGATTTCCTATCTTGAGTGACCGTTAAAGATCTGAGGTAGGACCATCTATATGAATGGTCTGCATACTAAAGGACCTTGGTAAGAGACTGCATAGAATTCCGCCACATTAACGTAGCTCTGCTGAGGTCTTGAAAGAAGGTGAGGTTGTATGATTCAAATTGCAATGGCCTTCTTCCATTCAATGCTTTGACAAACCATTGTTTGTTTGGCCTTAAGGAACTGCACTAGGTGCTTGGGGAAACTTTGAGATATGGTATACATCACTAGGAGGTCAACACTTGGAGGTCAAGTTGTGCTTTTCCTTAGTAGTCGTCACCAATGAGCCGCTGAGTTCCTGCACAGTAGGCCAAAGTCTTCGGCGCTGAGTTTGACACTGAGGAATACAAGGAGGGCATCCACCTATTTGGTGCAGTGTCCTGAGTGCAGTGGTTGTAATCTCACCTGCATGTCGAGTACCTCCAACTTTAGAGGTAAAATTGCAATGTAGGCATTCAGAGCTGCGAGTAATGGTCTCAATCCAGCAGTGCTGTTAGACCAACTCCCAATAATGTATTTCACTTAAAGAGTTAATTTGTGCAACAGCCCTTATCCTCTGTCAGGCTGCATTCTGTAGCCTGCTTGGAGTTGTATAGATAATGGGAACGTTACCATCGTCTTATTAGGTATAGGGTTTATGTGAAAAAAATGTTTATTTACACTGGAAAGCAATCTAAAACACATTTCTATGCCATCTAGTAAATAATAAGCTTCTTGGCTTCTATAGTTTCCTATGTAGATCTTTCATTCCATGCACAAATTGGGATATGTAAACTAGTGAATAACATTTCGACATAACTTTGCCACGACAGCTGAAAAAACTATTTATACACTAGTGACGTTGTGTATAATCCTATTAATATTCTAGTCCACTTATAAATATATAAAAAAAAATTATAGAAACAATGAAAGAGGCCAACTTGTTCATGGTTATAAATTAGGAACACTGGGTCAGAGAGATTAAATAGATGCTTTAACATTTTCAGTTATCAAATAAAAATGGATTAGAGTGTAATGCCATAACATAATACTTATCACTAGAAAGGTTAGAATAATAAACAATATAATGATATATTAAGAACATACCAGATTAAAAACAGTGTGAATTGTTCAGAAAATAAAATTCCGTGGTTGCCCGGGTACTTATTGACTAGCCATGCCAATTTTCTGGTTGTCTGGGAGCCAAGTGGTAAGAAGGGGCTACTATTTTTTGCAGGGATTGCCAAGGATACTGTTGACGAGCAGGGGCTACTTTCCAAGAGTGCATGGGAGCATATTGGCAACCAATGGCCATTTTTCAGTAGAGCCTGGACATCTCTTGGCAAGGCAGGGCCACTTTCTACACTGATTAGCCTGCAAGGGGCACCTTTTTGTGGCACCTGAGATATTTATTGACAAACCTGGGCCACCATCATGGGGTTGCTGGTCACTTCTGTGTGAGCAGTGGACACTTTCCTTGAAGGATTTCTAGAAAGTTAAGAAAAAAGAAACAAGAAATCATCAAGAAAGGGACCACTTTCCAAGGATCCTTGGGTGTTTACTGCTGAGCAGGGGACAATTTCCGGTGTGGCCTGAGTGGCTACTAGTGAGAATAGGTAATTCTCCCAGGTTGACTGGGCACCTGTTTCTCAGGGAAATTAATTTGATATCCTGCAAAATATATGAAAATTATTTCCGGGATTTAATCTCCGCAAGACTAAGAAATTATCTACTTTTTTGGGAATGTTCTAGTACTATTGCTATATAATAAATATATATAATAATACCGGATAAGTTTTTCACATCTATTGATAGTACTGAAAGTAAAAGCCACCTTCTCTCCAAACTACTGTTTGTTCTGGCAGCTATATAATGGTTTTCCAAACCTTTACTAAACATCGCCTGAAACAATACTGCCTTTCAGCTATTGAAGTTTTAGTCCTGAAACCTGTGTATATAAAAAGGGATTCACTTGTTACTTGTTGAAGAATTGATAATTTTATCCTCCGAGCAAGATGTCTCTCATGAACACATTGTCTCTTACTTTAGCTATTCTGTTGGGTCTTGCATTGGTTGATGCAACATATTTTGGTAAGTCTTTAAGAAAAAAAACTAAATTTCTTCTACATAATTTCTTTTATTGGAATTTCATTAAAGATACAAATAAGCATATCTAGCACTCTGACCGATGGTATTCTGTAGGCAAGTAAAAAACAAAGCATATACTTTGTATGTGTTTAAGATTCCAGATTCATTGCTGCTATATAGAAACACAATCGTTCTAGAATGGACAGCAACCTCTGATTCTCTTTCTTCTTCAGTGATCTTTCCCCTTTTAATCATTTTAACAATCACAATATTTTGGAGATTTCATCATCTACTCCACACAACTTTCTTGTTATCCATTTCTCCCAGCCCTTTCTTCTCTCTCACTGCCTTGAGCAAACCTTCTGTCCTTCACCATTTTCCACCATCTCTTTCTCAATTTACCCTCGATATTCCCCAGTCCACATGCAATCTCCATCCCTAGTCTGTATCATAAACCTGCCTTAGTCTCTACGTTTCTTCAATTTCTTCTTTCCTCCGATGCTCAACATCAATTTTTTTTACTTCCATCGTTCTCAATATTTTCTCCTCTCTCAACCTCTTTCTCCCTTTTTCCTTCTTCAAGGGTTTCCAAAACAAAAGTCCAAAGTAAACTTAGGCAACTTATTTGTGCAGTTCTTTTAAATGCAGATCTAATCAATATGTAAAAGACAAAGATTGTGTTCATGTTTAAATCACCATAATAAAATAACCATATTGAAATAGTGTATACTTAAAACTCCACAGAGCTACATGGAAGGGAAAACAAAACAGATATGGGGCAAAATGTATTTAAAATTCAAAAATACCAAAGTCCCTGAGTAAATTGCCGTAAAACGGTCTATTCTCAAACTCGTGTATGACATTGAAAAGGAGCAGAGGGATTCCCCAGAAACTCATGTTTTTCCAAAGGTAGGGTTTCATAAAGAATGATATATAAAGGAATATAAACAAGAAGAACACTGTGTAACAAAGTATATGTTTTATTGGACTCCTTACTCTTAACCTATGGCTAAGCAGTGGATTGGCTGAGGTCATCAAGATTGATAAACTCAGCCAGTGGAGAGAGGGCGACTGCCGTGAGACTGGAACATCGGGTGAATAAAGGTGAGTGAAGCATTTTATTTACTTTAGGTGCGGTCTGATAATTCAATTCATTATAATAATACTCTAGCGTTAGGAATACAAAACTATAGTGTTACTTTAAACTGGTCAGCACAAAATATTCACTTTATTTGGCAGTCAAGCAATTGTGTATGTATATGTGTGTATATATATAAAACAGTTCTTCTGGTTCAACTAATCCTTCCCGTGTTTACTTTTCCAACAGATGATTCTGGGAGCCAAGAAAGTAGCGTAGATTATGAAGAAAATAAATTTTCAGCAGAAAAGAGCAATATCCTGGGGCAAGACGATCATGCCGATGAACTATTGCATTCTATCAGTTTTGATAAGGCTATTGAAGCATTCCTAAAATTTTGCATAACCGTGATGCAAGAAAGTAGTAACAAACAGGAAATTCACAAGGATATAATATACAAAAGATGCCACAGAGAAGAAAATTCATTGATTTGCATTGCACTGAATTACTGTAAGTATGACAATAAGCTAGTTTAACCCCTTAAGGACCAAACATCTGGAATAAAAGGGAATCATGACATGTCACACATGTCATGTGTCCTTAAGGGGTTAAAGTACATTGCTTCCTACAGTGAACCTTCGCTTAACTCGACCATTTTGAATATCAGAGCAACATTATATGTAATGTCAGAGACATGGCTGAATGTTGATTGTTTTTTGCAATTAAACAATCTACTGCTGCTGGCCTCTGTCACTTGGTGTGACAGTTCTAGACTGCATCGGGTGTAGAAGAAAGGGATGGTGGCTGTCCGACACTGCAGATGCTGGTTGCCACCCATGACCCCACAGGGCTGTGAAAGTTTACATTTTGCGACTGAATTTGATGTTATTGGGTGGGTGGCGCATGAGATCACTATGTAGCTGGGACTGATGTGAGCAGGGCTCAAGGCATGAAGACACTGTCATCATTAGATTGATGTGATTGGGTTGCAACAATGAGAGAACTATGGGGACAGGGGTTATTGTGGGTGAAGACCAGGAGCGATTTTTGTAGGTGATGTGATTAGCAGGGCTGGGGGTAATGGGGTTATGGGGTGGAATGTGGTTGGGACTGGGAATGATGGAGGGCTAGGGTAATAAGGGATGGGGATGAAGGTCATGTAGAGATTCTAAGTTAATAAAACATAAATACTCAAATATAATGCTTTATTATAACTTCTTTATATTGAGGAATGTTTTCATGCCTACCAGTAAATGTGAGATTATAATGTGTTTACAATAGGGAATTACTAATTCCTTTGACTAGCTGCTTGTAAACATCTTTGAGTCTAATGTCCTGCAGTTTATATAATCTTACCATAAGCCTAGCATAACATATATGCTAGCTGACAGGGGCCTGTTGTTTTTTTATGCCGTGCTGCAGCGGTTTGTGCACACCTCACGGCTCTGTCTCTTCTTTGTGCACGGAGAGAGGATTGCCTGGATAATATACAGTTATTTACAATACAGGGAAAGCACTGCGAAAACGCTTTTAAAAAGAACTTTTATAAATTTTTATAAACCGAGCAATTTGTTTCTTTTTAAATTTCACTGTAAAAACAAATCAAACTTTTTTTTACGGATGGGATTTGAGGAAAGGAATTCAAAGATACAAACGCATATTGCCTCTAGGGTGTACGTTCTATGCAACAGATATCGCCCTGTTTCAGCTCTTGATTTGATAAGACTTGTTAAGCCAGATTTATTGAGAACATTTAATGTCACGCATAACAAATGACTGGAGTGTTACTGATCAACCATATCTAGAGGCAGGTCCCTGTAACTCCATCCTCTTTAATGCGCTCTGGAAATAAAAAATCTAAACTCTGGGAAGCCAAAAACAATGTTCCCCTATCCTAAAATCTTTTGTGACCTGTGCCATGTGATGTGTGCACGTATGACTGATCTGGACTCCTTTTCCGATGCAGGGAAGTTATACTCCAGAACCTTTACAAACAGTTAAGGAAACAGCACCTAAAAGCTTGTGGTATACCTAGCGGCTGTTCTTTTTTTTTCTACCTCTAGAATACTGTTGAAATAACAACTATCCCAAACCCTTCTAAATGGGTAATCACGGAGTAGTCTTTTAAGTCCTGTTTAAATTAATGTCCACTCCATGTGTAATTCAAGAGTCAAAAAACACACGTGGTTATATGCATAGTTTAATACTTCTACTCTGAATTTTTTTTTTTTATTAATGATAGTGGCATAATTAATTGGTTAAAGGGAATCTGTGTTAAAACGTTCTATGCGCATTCACCCGTTGACCATTATAACTTTTCAGGTGTATAAATAGTTTGTAAAATTTATTTTTTCACTTTGTGTTTTCGTCAGACTAGCAACTCCTCAGCTGTTTTAATGTTTTATATGTTCCCGGGAGCTGACTCACAGGAGATATGAAACAAACACAATAAAAACACAATAAATTAAATAAAAACAGAGTCAGCCAGACATACATACAGACAGGCGGTCAAACAGACATACATCTATTAGTATTACTCGCCATTATGTGCTTGGAATCATCTCCTACAGAATCCCTGTCTCTCAGAAGCCCAATCACTAGTCTCAGTGAAGTCTGATATGTCCAGAGAAAAACAGAGGCCAGTTAAAAATACAGTGAGGGAGAAGGGGGCATGCACAAAGCTGCACAATGTTTTTTTTTTTTTTTGTGTCCATAGTGTCCCTTTAGACTGCCCTTTTGAAAATATAGTGATCTAAAGAAACTCTACATATTTAATGAGTTGAACAACCCAAGCCACAGTGGTTATAGTTACATGGCAACCATGAATGTATTTTGCCCTGCCGAGCTGTAAAAGAAAACCCTAGCACATTTTCTTTGGTCTCCCTCTTCACCACCCATGAGGGAAATTGCATGCACATACTGACATTCATATACACACATACACCCATATACACAAATGGACACATATACACAGACATATACATTGATACGCAAGCACACACGGACACATAAATACATATATATACTCACACACTGACATTCATATGCACACTCATAATTACATCCATATATAATTTTTATTTCAATAAATAAATAAAAATATTTACATTTTTCATTATTATATATTTTTTAACACTGATGTTTACCCAGCCTCCCAGTTTTTACTATACAATTTCTCGAGTGTGGAGTAATACCAAAGACTTTCAAATGAGGAACATTTTTTTTAGTGTTATTTGCATTGGTGTGTTGGAATTGCAATAAAATCCAGTTGGAGCAGACTTGTAGGCTGTCCTTGAAACCACAATTACTTTTCAGACCGATATCAACTCCTCTACATACCACAAACTACCTGTGTGACTGGGAGGAGTCGGTACATCATTACCCCTTGAGATGCAGGATTGTGATGCAATATTTTAGGCATGATCATCTTATATATGATAGTGAATGCTGATGGTTCTAAGGTTCTCCTCTGTTGATATTGATATTAATATTACAAATATACAACAATTGTAATAGTCTTCAACATGTCCTCTGTCCATTAAATTCTCCCTTTGCTTTGATCTGAAGCCTCTTTGCTTCACTTTCTCAATTTGAGTCCAACTTATAGTCACGTGTCTCTTCTCTCAATTTCAGGTCCACATCTGTCTATGTTTTTTTCTTCTTAATATCAAAAACGTATTAATACTAATTTTGTTTTTACTTAGATGACCTTGAAAAATATAGGAATTACCGTTACTATGCAGGTTCGAATAAGCGAAGTAAATATGGATATGACATGTATAAAGATGAAAATTTGCTAATGGAGCAGCATCTGTATAATGATAGAGAATTGAATTCACTGGAAGAAGAAGAATTAATTTCTGCTCTAAAATCAAATTTGCTAAAAGAGAAAGATTTGGATCTGAATTCAGAATTAGGTTTTCCAGAAGATCAAGAAATCCCTCTTAATGCAGCTTTAGATTTACTAGAAGAAGTCACTCAAGATACACAAATAGATATACGAGAAGAGCCGGATTTGGCTCCTATTCCAGAATTAGATTTGCCAGAGGAGCAGGAACTGAATTCTAATCCAGAATTAGATCTGCCAGAGGAGCAGGAACTGAATTCTAATCCGGAATTAGATTTGCCAGAGGAGCAGGAACTGAATTCTAATCCAGAATTAGATTTGCCAGAGGAGCAGGAACTGAATTCTAATCCAGAATTAGATTTGACAGAGGAGAAGGAATTGAATTCTGGAACGGATTTAGATTTGACTGAGGAGCAAGAATTGGCTTCCAATACAGAAGTAGATTTGCTAAAGGAACAAGAATTAATTTCTGATACAGAATTAGATTTGCCAGAGGGGCATGAATTGGCTGCTGAAACAGAATGTAATGTACTAGAGGAACAAGAAACAATTCCTGATAAAGAATCAAGTACACCAGATGAGCAAGAAGTAACTGCTAAACCAGAATCAAGTACACCAGAGGAGCAAGAAGTAACTCCTGATCCAGAATCAAATTTACCAAAGGAGCAAGAAGTAACTGCTGATCCAGAACCAAGTACACCAGAGGAGCAAGAAGTAACTCCTGATCCAGAATCAAATTTACCAGAGGAGCAAGAAGTAACTCCTGATCCAGAATCAAATTTACCAAAGGAACAAGAAGTAACTGCTGATCCAGAACCAAGTACACCAGAGGAGCAAGACGTCACTCCTGATCCAGAACCAAGTACACCAGAGGAGCAAGACGTAACTCCTGATCCAGAATCTAAAATATTAAAGGAGCAAGAAATGACTCCTGATCCAGAATCAAATTTACCAAAGGAAGAAGAAATGCCTCCCGATCAAGAATACATTATACGAGAGTAGCAAGAATTGTCTCTTGAATCATAATTAAGTGTGCTGTAAAGTCAAGAATTTTACTTAAGCATTGATTAAAGACTCATCATAGATATAATAGCAAAACAATGCTTGATGCATGAAATTCCCCCTACTAGGAGCTTTGCCTAAAGGACATGAGATATTTATCAAATAATACTAAACAATAAAATAATTTCTTATGGCTTAAGATTAGTAATAGCATGCTGAGAGCACAAAGAAAGATAATTTAGACAATGTTGGTGGCAGGTATGTGATATAAAGCAGTAATACAATGTAGTTCATTAGCATTAGAGACAATAAACACTAAACACTGAGAAATATACATGTAGCCCATGTCTATTAATATAGTAAATGATAAGTATTGTAAGGAAGGGCATGCACTAATCTTGCATCCAAGGGACACGATTGTCTCATACAGTAAGATACAATTGCACATCGAGTTATTTTTAATGAAAATTATATTACTAATTCTGTTTAATACTGTTCAGTTACTATCAGGACTGGCGCTACCATAAGGCGGCACAGGTGGCCGCCTTAGGGCGCTCTGGCCCGGGGGTCGCAAATATCCAGATGACCACCAGGAGAGATGTGCACAGCACTCATCTCCTGATGTTCATTTCCTGTAGCATGGCCAAGCGCCAGTACCTCTGCTGCTCGGCACAGAAGGAGAGGGCGCACGAGGCAGCTCCGACCCAGATCTGCATTTCCTGTATAGCTCCCTCGTGCACCTTATAGAGGTCCTGGGAGCCGTAATGTGCCATCATATTCTGACTTCCAGGCACCACTGCAGGGCGCGCGAAGGAGCTATACAGGAAATGCGGATCTGGGTCGGAGCTCCCTCAGAGTAGCACTGCAGCAGCCCACTGGACCCCAGGTCTCCAGAAGGTAGGAAGATTGGGTGGATTGAAAAGTGTGTGTGTGTTTCTTTTGCAAGATATTGTCCCTCCCTCTCACCATTGCCGCAGTCCCCCACACAGCTGCCCTGCTCCCTCAATACAGTTACCATAGCCCCAGTCCTCTACCCCCTTTCCCACCATAGCCCCAGTCCTCCATAATGCTGCCCTGTCCCTTAAAACTGTTCCAACCCACCCCACCAGAGCCCCAGTCCCCCACAATGCT